TTACCATGATTTAGGGAAGTATCCCCCATACCGATACATAGGACCCTTTCGGTTGTGGCATGTGACAAACTGCAACTGGAATCGAGTTCTTTGGCCGACGGCCTTCTTGGAGGGGCCCGGGGACTGAGTAAGTCGGCAATAGATTGGCGTATAGGTCCCTAAACCCTAAACCCTAAACCCTAAACCCTAAACCCTAAACTTATAGGTGTCCCCTGGTCCCGGGACCTTCTGGCTGTGACAGGGATGTTGCGGGTGGAAAAAGGGGCTCAAAACAACAACTTATAGGTAGTTTCAAAAAACAACTTAGATCCTAAACCGTCAATCCTACGTAGATCACCTTGGGCAAGCGCTCATGTGGGATCCTCAGGCTGTCGTCGTGAAACAGGGGCAGGAGGACCGCAAAGGGGTGCGTGCTTGACTAGGTTTAGAGTTTAGGGTTGTTATTGCTGGGTTTAGGGTTTTGGCATGGTTTAGGATTTGGGCTTAGGGTTTAGGGCAGTGGTTTATATATGCGTTTGCATTATGTGGGTTCTCGGGGGGGGCTTCTCCAGGAACCAGGGCTTTAGGGTTAATAGGGTTACGGGATCAGCGTCTTGGGTCTACAGGGCTACTAAACATATTATAGGGGAAAAAATATTTTTTCCCCTATAATATGTTTAGTTGGGGGAAAAATTTTTCCCCCCTATAATATGTTGAGTCTCGAGGGTCGACAGGGCTTAGAGGGTGGAGGGCTTCAGGCTTCACGGGTTTTCAGGAGCAGGTTTGGTGAGTGTTTTCGGTTCCGACACGTCTGCATCGCGAGATGATGCTAATTCCTGTATAAACGGAAAGATCGTAACGATTGCCGAAGTTTATGGATTGGTTGCTTATTGGTCACCTGTGTTAACTGTCAACTACGGTCGTCATTGTAGGGCTACTAAGCAGTTGTGCATTGAAATTGTGCTGCCTTTCCTTGCCTGCTTTCCCTGAGCGTCGGGATTTGGAGTTTCGGATGTCTCCCTTCATGATGGGCTTTCTAAGTCATCCAACGTCTTGAGATCCAGCTGATCCGTGTAACTTCGGGTACTTAGTGTACCAGCGGATTGCTAAACTGGGTTCTGGAGTACCATACTTGAATACTTTTTTTTGGGGAGCTGTTCCTTAAGGGAACCATTATGAAATAAAAGTCTATACTTTTTTCTCCCTGGTTACTTCAAAGTCCAGTAAATTCAGTTGTCCCATGAAGCAGCAGTCATAAGATTCCCGGGATTCGTGCGTGGGACTGGGGTTCGAGCTCTGTGGTTTTGGAAAAAACCTGATCCTCACCCCCTTTGTAGGAGCCTGTGGAGGAATCCTACTTAAGTGATCACGGGACTTAGAAAAAAGGGGTTATAAGTTTATAAGTTATAAGGTAGCTATACATTCAACTACTTGTAACCTCAGTTAAGCTACGCATAACTTGTATTACTGAGTCCTGTGACCCTGGAAGTCTAGGCGCCCATCTCGTCTCGAAGTGTTTCAATTTCGAGGAGCCCGACATTAACCCTGGCAGTTTCGATGAGTTCGAAGCCTTGGCGAATGCCAACCAGGAGCCCAGAAAGGGTTGAGATGGTTTTTATGTTGGAGGTTTACAGGGCTTAAAGGGCTTATAGATGTTAGAGGTTTACAGGGCTTATAGGGCTTATAAGTGTTAGGGTTTTTGGTACTCCCTTATGTATATGTATATATATATATATATATGCTACCCCCCCCTCAGTTATCTACCTTTT